TGTAAATAACACTACACTGAAAGCAGAGGAACAAACAACTAATCAGAACGATTCTAAACTTTGGCGGTTAATTTACCTTATTTAGTTTAGAGGACACAAGCGTCTAGCTGGACCGCGAACCTTTCAAACATCGAGGTCATGTGACGTAACCCACAACACATAATATTTCTTCTTTCTTTATATTAGGCCCTTTCTTTTGTACGAAAAGTGTAGCACATTCGTACACCTCGTGTAGTTTACACCGAAAGTCGAGCATTCTTTTGAAAAGTGCATTTCACACCAGTGTAGTTTATCTCCACCTAGTCTTGGGCAGGTGTGAATTACACTCAAATTCAAGAATATATAAAATCACGATAAATTACTCGGAATACATGTGTGATTATATTTATAATACATATAATTAAACACCTATACTCGAAAACCAGTTACATCAAATACCGGATTTAAAAATCAAAATTGCACTTTTCCTCTTCAATTCAATTTTCTTCGTTCGTTTGAAATTCGTTGGTGTAGCTGCACGAGATATCAGCTGATTCACAGTGCAGTGCATTTTACACGACACTGAAAAGCAGACGAAAGAACCTATTGAGAAACTACGACTTCAAAACGCCCCGATAACAGGCACAGGCAAGCTTTTAGACCAATCACAACGTTGAGTTTCAAGTTTTCGGAATAAATATCTCTGAAATGACAAGCTCTCTACTGTGGAAATGATTCGAATTTTGAATTATTCAGATTATTCTGGACATTAGAGCCATCATAAACTACTCTCGGAGTTCTGGACCACAAGTGATGGCAGATTTTCATTACGAAACGAGCATTGATTTCTTAAACAAACAACTAAACACGAGTGACGGTTTCACATTCGTTTACTTGTGTATTTTGAAAGCTTCTTTGAGTATATTATTTAGTTTTGGTATAGATTAACGACTTAATCTATGGATTTGGTTAGATTTGTGATTAGTGTAAACGTAAAAACTTTTGATATGATGATTTTAAAGAAAAAATAGGTACCAGTAACGTGTATTGTCGTGGATTGTGGATGTCATGTAAATCAGGACCATTTTTTGCTTAGTGTTTTCACATTCCTAATATACAGTTACAAGTCGGAATTCCGAGTTACAAGTCGGAATTCCGAGTTGCAACTCGGAATTCTGAGTTACAAGTCGGAATTCCGAGTTACAAGTCGGAATTCCGAGTTACAAGTCGGAATTCCGAGTTACAACCCGGAATTGAAATAAAAATAAGTTGATGGCCTTTCTACGCCTTCGTAGATTTCGAAGTTTCAACTTGCACATGTAACCAAGGAAGAACAGGGACCCTATTCTCAAATGGTGAGAGATTTCTACATTGTCGAACAAAAAACCTGAGTGCTCATTCTCGAATGACGCATTCGAAAATTTTCGATAGACAAATTGTAGAGTGGTCTTGATTAGGCAGTCGACTTTTCAATGTCGAATGAGAAATTGAATATTTGACTGATTTCTTCACTTGTTATTTCGAAAATGGCAGCTTCATTGATGAAAATTGAAAATTAAGAGAGCCAAGAGAATTCATAACGGCCACGAGAGAACGTATATAAGAATGCGTTCAGATTTTTATCGGACATGAAATGTATGAAAACATTAAGGTAATGAATTAGTGAGAGTCCATATTATGGGTCTTCTGCATGTTTTTGCCAGATAAAAGTAGCTTATACTATTTTTTTTTCATCAAGTTGAGTGTTTCCTTTCAAGATGAAGCACAATAACTTTTTTCTCTCCAATGTCATTATTATTTCAACATAACATTGACATAACCTCCATCATAACAACAAAGAAACTACAACAACAACACATTGGCACAGACACAGAACACATTCGAGAATCGTCAATTCGATGTTGCCAGTTCATGCTATTCGACAAAATTTGTCTCATGCGAGTTTGAAGTCGAAAGCAATCGAGAATACCACACTTAAACGTTGTGCGACAATCTCTATCGACATATGTCGCATACGACATATTTCGTTCGATATTCGAGAATAGGCCCCAGAGGACCCTATTCTCAAATGGTGAGATATTTTGTCGCATTGTAATGTCCTGTCTTCAATTAGATCGTAGTTCGAGTTATCGAAACATGTTCAGGAGTGCAGGGAAGAACAGCAGAAGATAGTTCACTTTTACTGGTTTATTATAGAATAAATAGTTATTATCTCTTTCAGAGTTCAAACCGGAATGTTCTCTGTAACTACAATACCTAATTGATAACCTACCTATTACTATAAACAATAAATTGATGAATAATCTAACTATCGTAACACTTTCGGAAAAGCTGTGTTGGACTGTTTCGAAATGGTACCTGATTTCAATGACATAATTAAACAATATATTATAAACATCCACTACAGCATGCGAGATTAGTACATTGTCGAACAAAAAACGTGAATGCTCATTCTCGAATGACGCATTCGAAAATTTTCGATAGACAAATTGTAGAGTGGTCTCAAGCAGCCGACATTTTCATGTCGAATGCGAGATTGAATATTTGGCTGATATTTTCACTTGTTATTTTGAGAATGGTAGCTTCATGGATAGAAATTGAAAATTTGGAAAATCAAGAAAATCACAACGGCCACGAGAGAACATAATATATAAGAATGCGTTCAGATTTTCATCGCACATCATAAAATGTAAAAAAAACATTTGATCGAGGAATTAGTGAGAGTCCATTGCACTGCTAGAATCATTTGTGGTACAGGAACATGGGTCTTCTGCATTTTTTTTGCCAGATAAAAGTGGCTCATTCTATTTTTATTTCCTCAATTTGAGTGTCTCCTTTCGAGAAGAAGCACAATACCTTTTTTTCTTTCCACTGCCATTATTATTTCAACATAACAATGACATAACCTCATATCGTAACAACAAAAAAACCACACTACATTGGCAGTCAGAACACATTCGAAAATCGTTAATTCGATGTTGCCAGTTCATGCTATTCGACATAATGTGTCTCATGCGAGTTTGAAGTCGAAAGCAATCGAGAATACCACACTTGAACGTTGTGCGACAATTTCTATCGACATATGTCGCATACGACATATTTCGTTCGACATTCGAGATTAGGCCCCACTCTAGGCAATTGACACGTCTCTCGATCTGAGAATATAATATACATTATTCAAAATTTTTGGGATTTTCTCTCCTCGTTTCTATAAAATAAAAATATGAATATTATTTCAATATACGTGTAGTAAGGACAAATCAGATGATTTGCCCCAAAATGTCACTGCGTTTAAAGAATTTTCCTATCAGAGAGCCTAAAAGAAAAATTCACTAGCTTGTCAGTGACAATTTGTATTGAAAAAATTTTTGGAGAAGGGAAATAAAGGTATATAGAAAAAATATCAAATTTTCACTTATCTTTGGACGTTTCGGGACCGGTTCTGCTCCCGTTTTCAACATGAGAAAAGATTATTTCAATAGCGAAGTCGTATAATGTCTTGAAGCTTTTCAGTTTTCAATAACAATTGGTGACGTTGGCAATCAAATGAGTTACAGGATGTTTTCATTAATTGATCTTGATAGGAAAATTCTTTAAACGCATTGACATTTTGGGGCAAATCATCTGATTTGTCCTTACTACACGTATATTGAAATAATATTCATATTTTTATTTTATAGAAACGAGGAGAGAAAATCCCAAAAATTTTGAATAATGAATATACCACCTCCTCGATTAACCTACAGACAGTATTTAATATAATATAGTTTATAGAATCAGTAAAGTAGTTATCATCATAAAAGTTTCTTGATATACCCGAGCTCCTAATCTACAACACAATCATCCAGAACAAAATACACCATATTATAGTTGAGTATAGGAATTATAAACATCTCAGGTGAGTATTTTTGTTTTGATCAGGGAAGCCTTCAAGATTCACATGCTTGCAAGCACTAGTTTTTTGTCTCAAACAACGATATTGTCTACCTCCATTCGATTATCAAGTCAAACACAGTGTAGCATGGAGAGGAATAAATAATCGCTATAATTGTTGTTGATATGCTCACTAACCTAACATTTTTCACGTCTTGTTCCAATACCTGGCAGTGGCGCGGTATTTGCCATTAGGGCACCTGGTCCATACACAAATGTGTCACTCTGTGGTTGTATTTATATTGAAACTACAATTCGAACATCCTTGAAAATTGAATAAACCTGCTGTTAATGCAGGTAGAATATTCTCACCACACGTATTATTTATTTGTTGCAGTGCATACATATGGCACGGCATTGGCGGTTACTTCACATTATTTATTTGAGTTAATTTTTTCGGTTGCAGAAAAATAGCATGTTTCATTCGGATCAAAAGTGACTTTGTTTGACTCGCAAATTTTGTTTTCGATCGGCTTTGCTAAACGCTCCGCCTCGCAAATGCTAAATTCGCTTGTCAAACAAAGTGTCACTTTTGATCCTTATGAAACAATCTACTATAATCCCAGTAAACACAACACGTTTCAGAAACATTTCAAAAGTTCCCTAATACGTGTCATCTGAAACATTCCAATGTTAACATAAAGGAAACATTTCTGGAGTTCTCCATGCTATGTGAAATATTTCAGAAATATGTCAATACATACGTCTCATATTCGTTACAAAAACTCTTTGCTTGGAATGTCTTACATGAAACTCTAGATGTGTCATCTGAAACATTCCAATGTTAACATGAAGAAAAAAACATTTCTGAAGCTCTCCATGCTATGTGAAATATTTCAGAAATATGTCAATACATACGTTTCACATTCGTTACGAAAAATCTCTGCTTGAAATATCTCACGTGAATCTCTAGACGCGTCATCTGAAACATTTCAATGTTAACATAAAGGAAAAATTTCTGAAGCTCTCCATGCTATGTGAAATATTTCAGAAATATGTCACTACATACGTTTCATATTCGTCACAAAAAATCTCTGCTTGAAATGTCTCACGTGAATCTCTAGACGTGTCATCTGAAATATCGCCATGTTTAAGTATGTGAAATATTTCTCAGTTGTTATGCGTGACGTGAAACATCTCTGGAATGTTTCAATACATGTGTTTACTATTTGTTTGAAATGCATCATATTCGACGTTGCCAGGTTCATGATTCCGTTTTATTGGCTATAATGAATCACATGCTTGAGTGTGACCAATGAAGACGTGTGGTTACTCTGGCAACATCGGCATATGACAGTCCGAACCAAGCACGGCCGGCTTCGATTTGCTCCGACTGTCCAGTCCGAGAAGAGAGTGGGTGAACACAAAGACGAAGCCATTCTTTCTTTTGTTGTTCTAATTCCGGTGAATCCATTTTCAGCGTCCATTGATATTGCCTGATGGTGGTAGTGCTAATGTTAAAAGTTAATAATGACAACTACGAATATGGAAAAGGTGAGTGGGTGAGTGGATCAAATAAATCTCAAAATTTTTTCAGGTGCTGTCAGAAAAAGGTTTGCTGTGACGGACGTGGAGTTCGAAAGATATGTAGCAGCCTAGTTCCGCCAATCTGGTCTCAGGTTAGCTAGTGAAAGGGAAAATATGAAATGAAATGGTTTTTTATTATAATTCAATAAGTTTTCATAATATAAAATCCACTAAAGCTGCAGTTTTATTTTATTCACCCTGCTTTTTTCTCCATATACCTATATTAATACCAATTGACTACATTACACATGATGTTAATTAGGGTTCACTTTCATTATGAGTATGTGATTAACTTCTGTGGTAATGTAGTCTTGGTATGAACTAAAAATGATTTCATATTTGAAATGTTCCATTATCAGCAAAAGTGAGATGTATCGGAAATGTTTCAAAAAAGTTATGTTGGAAATGTTGCAAATAGTGCAATAAGGAAATGTTTCGAAGACACTATTTGTGAAACGTTTCATGAAATGCAATAGTGAAATATCTCAGAGATGTTTATGTATACTCAATATTGAATGTTTCATGGAGATTTGGGTTGAAACAATCCAATGAAACATTACACACCCTAGGTCATTTATGGTCTCTAGAATGTCTCATAAATGTTTCGGAGTATGTAGGTGAAATGTTTCATATTTCACTAAGTTTGTTTCAGGAACGTTTCAGAAACACAAAATGGTTTACTGGGATAACATTTGGAGAAGAAATTATATGTTTCACACTGCCTTGGCTGAATTCCTATATAGCCTCACTACGCTCGGCTATGAACTATCAGCCGCAGCAGTTAATCTACTACTTTGCTGCCTAGTTGAACAAATAACTATTCTGCGAATGAATAAACAAAGATTGACAGTTGACATTACCTCTGAAGTGCGATCTCACCAGTGTCATCTGCTTCGAGCTTTCCAGATTAAAAAAGGTCTTTCAGTCCTGTAAAAGTGTCATATTCACAACTTTTCTCGTGCTCACACAGCAACTTATATTCTCCTGTGAACTCGCAGCCATCTTCTGAGAATCGACAAGCGAACGGTACTATTTCAGCTAAATTCTCCAAAGGAAAATTCCTAGATTCTCCAATTTTTGTTCGACAATATGGACACTCAGTCAGTTGAATTTTACACACATTGCATACTACATGTCCTTTTTCGCAGTTATAAATATAGCCGATCATGTATTCCATACAAATTGGACACTGTAACTGCTTTTTCAACAGATCAACAACGGTTGAATTGTTTGTTTGACTTTTCACTGTCAAATTTTCATTGACCATTTTTTTATTATTTGCTTCAAAGTCCTTCTTCGGATGGATTTTTATGGTATATTTTATCTTAGAAATATCACCAAATAAAGGTTTTATGTGAGTTAGATCAATCTTCTTGCAATTCACAGTAACAGGTATATTTCCATTCACACTTGAATGGGGATGATGCTTCAAATCGCAGGTCTCATCGATACAAGAGAAACAATGATCCCTATCATCATATTTGTTGATTGGTTCATTCTCAATCGAGACAGAATATTTGTCTTTAGAAATGCTGGATAATTTCAAATTGTATGTAAAACATTCATTTATACCATTCAGCGAAGCAACATATACCTCTGGTGTATCATAATTTTTTATCATCACAAGAAACTGTTGATTATTTGACTTAACGAAATGAACTTCTCCCCAATGTTGCTTCAATTTACTAGTCAAGTATCCAAAATTCATATTTTTTCTATGGTTTTGTTTCATGTGCTCCTCCAAATTCTGCACCTGTACAATGTCTCCACATTCGTAATAAATTGGACAACTGATAGTTTTTTTCTCACAAATGTCTTCATGTCTTTCAACATCTTTCCACGGAATCATTTCATTGCAATCCTCGTAGATGCAAGGAAATGAGAAAAACTTCACGATATTCTCGAAAGCAAAATTTCTGGCGTTGAATGGTTTCTTGACATTCTTACACCTTCCACACTTCAAGTGTTTTCCATCTTCTGAAATTGCTATTATCGGTGGCACTGATAAAACGTTTTGGCACAGGCAGCACTTCATTGACTTCAATACATCTTGAAATTCCATTGATTCAGCCATAATTTTCTGAAAAAAAAAAAAAAAAAAAAAAAGGTAGATACACCTAAATTTATCTGCTCATTTTGACAAAAAGCTATATGATCCCTGAATAGCTCTCGAAACAATGATTTCCGAGTGAAACAAACAAAAAAATTAAAATGCCATTTTGGCATATTCACACTTGAATATTCACATTTGAAGACCACAGGTGAAAAAGGGGAAATTTCACAAAAAGTAAGTTTCGAGAAAAACGCATTCCACAGTTTAAAACCTCCTTACTTTTTGCAAGTTGAAGGAAACTAAAATCAAACCACCTGGACTCATTTGATGAAGTATAATAAGCAATAAAGTTGAACAACTAGAAATAAAATTCATTTTCGAATGAAAAAATCATCGAAAACAAAAAATAAGTCCAAAGATTCAAAGGAAAAAGGGGGAATGTCCAAATAAATTGTCAAAAAACTGGATTGTTTACTCGCAATTATCTACTCTGGTACATTTCTCCATTCTTGTCTGACTACCTAATGAGCGGTAAGTTGTTTTATAGTACAGGGTGGCTGGAATTCGAGCCTCATCATTGGGATCTCGTAAACCGTAAGAGATACAGGGTCGGTTAAATCATGGCAAAGTTGCGCAATTTGATGCTCAACAAAATTCCGTTCTGAAACTTGGAAAATTCCGAATACTTTCGGAGATATCCGAAAAAAATCGAAATTCCATAAAATCGTTTTTATTTTTTTCTGGCGTTATTTGAAGAAATTAATCGATATGAATAACACTTTATCATGGCCACTTTTTCTTTCCTACAAACATGGCGTTATCAAATTTGAAATCTGACGTTTCGTCTTCCAGAAACCATCATCAACTTACTTTTTTTAAATACGGACCTGGATTTTTTATTTCATTTTTTGTTACCTTCAGATAGCCCAAAAACTATGAGCTATCACAAATTTCTATTTTCAAATGTTTCAATGACTAAAATTCAGTTTCCCTATTTTTTCAAAATATTTAATCCGAAACTATTTTTGAAACATTATTATTCGAGTTATTATTCATCAGTAATATAACTAAGGGTGAAGAATATGTGAACTATGTAACTAAATTGTAATAAGAACAAAATGAAATTCTAAAGTAAATGCTCGAATAGTCCCCCTTGCACCTCTTGGCATTTTCGTACGCGTCTTCGCAAATTGCTAGTGAGCGCGCGCTGGATCATTCTTCATCTACCTCGTAGTCTTGTTATTTCAAACATTAAATTTTGTCGTAAAATATTTATGACCCGTGGAATATCTTTAAATAAACGGTTTTTCAAAAATCCCTATAAAAAGTAATCCAGCGGGGATAAATAGGGGCTTCTTGCAGGCCAGCGCACCACTCCTTGGTTTCCAATCCACTGATTGGGAAATGTTTCATTTAGATACCGAGTAACGGCCCTTCCATTGTGGGGTGCGCCACCCTGTTGCCACCATATAGTTGCTGGAGTATATTCAACGGCTCGTCTTCAAGAGCATCTAAATTTTGGATGAAATGAAGGTACCGATCACTATTTGAATTCCCATAATAAATAATTGGCCCCAAGATTCTGTGTCGATACAGCCCCACCCAGACATTGAATGATGCCCGTCCCTGCCTTCGCACTTGCTGATTTTGGTGCGGATTTTCCACTGCATAATACCCTAATAGCACACAACGTCCTAGGGACGTCCCTATTTGGTTCAATTCACGTCCGAATGTCCCGAACCAAACATAAATAACCTTGGGACATCCCATCCCGTACATCTCATGCAATGTCCGAGCAAGGACGTCCACGGAATGTCCCAGCTGGTACTTAATTTCAAATGTCCTAGAAATAACATCTCTTAGACGTCCCACGTGGTACATATTGTAGAATGTCCATGCAAGGACTTCCTTGGCATGTCCCTGATGGAACATTATTTTAAACGTTCCTTTATAGGGACATCCATATCGGATGTCCCGAGTAGTAAATATTCTGGCATGACTTCATATCTTACATAATGTCCCTTCTAGACAACCATGAAATATCCCTGATGGTACATTCCTTCAAATATCTCTGCACAGACGCCCTTAATATTTCCAGGATCGTATAACAATAGAAATATCCCTTAGGGACATCCTTCGAATGTCCCTTAGGGATATCCGTCGAATGTCCCAATTGGTACATGAACTGTACTCTCTCAATGTCCTAGAAAGAACGTCCTATGGACGTCCCAGTCGGTACTTTCAATATGTTGTCCCTGCGAGGACGTTAACTTACACCTCGCCGACGAATGATTGCTCGTAGGCTATCAGTACTCCTCGTTAATGTCCTTCACGTAAGTCTATTGGACATCCTCGGGAAACTTTTTGGGGACCTTCTACGGACCATCAACTCAACTGGATGTCCTAATCAGTTATGCAAGATCTGGTCCTAGAGGGACCCAGAAAAAATCAAATTCAAGAATAATTCGTACGTCCCTGGGACATCCTATGGACATCCAATTGGTATCCCACAGCGTTGCTGATAGGTTGTCCTATGGATGTTCTATGTGCTTGATGAGGAATACTGTAGGATCAAGGTATTCGATAGTTGTCCCAGGGACATCCTTCAAGGACGTCCTTAGTTGGTCCTCAAGTGGGACATTTTTGCGTCCCACAGACGTCCAATGGACGTCCACGGTACCAAATTCGAACGTCCTATGGACGTCCTGAATGTCCCGACAGGACGTCCTAAGGATATCCATGGGACATAGGTGTGTTATTAGGGTAATGCTCATTATTTCTGTTGAAAAGGCCGCTCGTAGAAAAATTGCATTCATCAGTCCAGATAATGTTATTTAAAAAATATTCTTTCTGTTGCAATTTTCTCTCAAGCCAATTGCAGAATTCTAGCCTTCTTTCATTATCTCCTGGTCTTAGTTCTTGGCTGACATGTAATTTAAAAGGATGATACCTATGATTTTTGAGAATCTTCTGAATTCGGCTTCTAGGCATATTTAATTCTAGAGCAAATTATCGTGTGGAACCTCGGGGATTTTCCGTAACCTTCAAAATTTCTCGATCAAATTTATCGCAAATATAAATTATTTCTTTTCGAAACTTACCGCATCTAAAACAGCTCCTTCTTCTTCAGCTCCAAATCTTCCGCCATACGCATTTCGGGGCTTACTAAAACTACCATACAGATTCAAGTTCTTGTCCAAATTATTGAAATACGTATAATGCGGTTTTAGTCGTTCGGGGTATTGCTGTAAATATCTCTCACATGAAATTTGCGAGTTTCTATTAGCACTATAATAAATTCGGGCCATATCACGTTTTTCTGAATTGGAAAACACCATTTTTGATCGCGCAAATTATTCAAAACCTTGAACTGTCAAACTTTGACGAGTGGTTGTAACTTTTCATCTCTAAAAGCATAGGCCTTTTCCATTTTCGGTAATTGCATTGAATATTTGGAAAAAATAAAGAAATTGTGAATTTTAGTCATTGAAACATTTGAAAATCGAAATTTGTGATAGCTCAGTTTTTGGGCTATCCGAAGGTAACAAAAAATGAAATAAAAAATCCAGGTTCGTAGTTAAAAAAATTAAGTTGATGATGGTTTCTGGAAGACGAAACGTCAGATTTCAAATTTGAAAACGCCATGTTGTAGGAAACAAAAAGTGGCCTTGATAAAGTGTTATTCATATTGATTAATTTCTTCAAATAACGCCAGAAAAAAATAAAAACGATTTTATGGAATTTCGATTTTTTTCGGATATCTCCGAATGTATTCGGAATTTTCCAAGTTTCAGAACGGCATTTTGTTAGGCATGAAATTGGGCAACTTTGTCATAATTTAACCGACCCTGTATCTCTCACGGTTTACGAGATCCCAATGATGAGGCTCGAATTCCAGCCACCCTGTACATCTAGCATCTCTATAATTCGATCATTTTCTTCCAATTCCACGCGATATGAGTAGAAATCATCATGTAGCAATCTCATTATTTTATTCCCATCACTCAGACGTACTCGACAAGCCCAGTCAGCACACCTTTATGTCGTCAACTTCGAAACATGTCGAACCACTCTTTACCAAAACAGAGAGTATTCCCAAGGCTCTGGAATTCATTGCCTGTGGAAGTATTCCCAACAACATATATATAATCTCCATAAGTTCAAAAAAAATTCCAATACCTACCTCCTGTCCATATCCTCCCCAGGAACGCACGATGTTCTTTGAACATTATAGGGATTCCCTTTCGTGCGCTCCAAGCGATAAAAAAAAAGAACATATATCTCGAAAGGTTGAAAAAAATCCCAATACCTACCTCCTCTCCCTCTCATCCCTAGGTACCCACGATATGCTTCGAACATTATAGGGATTCCCTTTCGTACGCTCCAAGAGATGATAAAAAGGTGGTTGTATCTCTTTCTTTCTCATTTTTTGTTCTCCTGATATTTCACTTTGTTTATGGGAAAAAAATCAAGACAGTTGAGTGTGCTTATTTTACTTTCTTTTGTTTTTTGTTTTGTTTTCTATTGGCAAGTGATTATCTAGGAACTTGTAAATTTTTTAGTTTTTTCATCGTATCTCCCGAGCTATGAAATTCAGAGAAAAATGTTATACGGATTTTTTGTAGATTCTATCGAAAGGAATAATTCTGGCTCTGTAACATTTTCAGATATTTCCAGTTGTTTTCGAGATGGCTCAAAGTTTCCAACAACTCTATCAAAAATCAGCTTATCTAGCATATCTAGGTAAAAAGCTAGATTCACTGTGAAAGTACAGAAAATAACAGAATTAGGAGGAACGAAAGTAACAAAAGTATAAACAAAATATCACATTTTCACAATAAATGCTCGAAATGTTGTCCATTACATTCTAAACATTTTAAAATATGTTTTTGTACGTGACTCGTGGTTGCCTTTTGAATTTCATGAGGATTCAAATCTTCAATACACCGCTTTATTCGCCGTCGCAGTTCTCCTTTGGTAGGCACTGGAGTACTGTACACCCTTTCTTTTAAAACACCCCATAAAAA